TTCGCAAAGTAGATAATAATACTTAATATAAAATTGGTGTTTGGCCTCAGTACTAAGTAAAGTATTTTTTAAACATCAATTACTTATATTTATTAAACATTTTCGAGTTTTAGGAGATTTTAGGAGTAACAAAAACACTGTAAATATTTCATTATCAAAATCAACATTAAATATTCAAATAGTATAATACCTTTACATAGTAGACGACACTTTCAAGACAGGTAAATATTTGTTATGTCTACAGAGACCGGTGCTAGCTGTAAATACTTATCACGGTATGATTTTTCAATTTTAACAAATATCGTGAACTCGCAAACTGTTATCAATTACTCAGTCCTTGACTCTACCTTGTATGTCCTTCAAGCTTTTTCAATGACACACGGACACCATTCATGTAGGTTGAAGGTACCAAGATAAAAAGTTTTTTTAGTAAGATTCTAAATTTTTTAATTATATTTAACTATACTAATTGTTATTTAAGAAAAACAGCTTCAAAATCTTGCAAACCGTCAAGGATATAACATATTAGAAGCCTTTTTTTAAGGCTGTCATAGTGCTGACATAGTGTTATTTATGAAATAACAGCTTCCATTTATTTTTCTTCAATCCTTTAACAATTTCCATGATATTAATTCATCGATCACTTTAATAAAATAGATAAATAAAGCCATCGCATCGAGTCACGGCTCAATCAAATACTCATTACGATGCTATTACCACGACTAGTGACGTGCATGACTTCATTACAGCGCCCTAGGATCAGCATCCATTAGTTAGCTTAAACTAATAGTACTTCATATTATGAGAAAGTTACCAAAGGCTAATGGTAAAAGTTAATATAAAACAGGCAATAGGTACGATCAACTTCTTCATTCAATTTACCTACTACTCTTTCGCTTCACTCAGATGCGTTCCTAAGATGTGACTTTAAGTCCAGCTCGTAGTGTACCTGTGTACTAAATTTCATCCCATTTTGCTCAGCCGTTTCAACGTTAAGAAATAACTCACATATAAGCATACAGACATATGTGAGTTATTCCGTATCGTTGAAACGCATACAAACATATTTATTACATTAGTCAGTAAAGTATGAACTTTTTTTGGGAATACCTGTAATCTACTAAGTTCTATCTCCAGAAAAAGAACTCCTTTATAAATGTGAGTTTCACATTATGCTTACAATATAGATAACAAAAATCTCTCCATATCGAGGTAGGAAAAATAAATTATTATTATGAAAAGAAAATAGAAAATGAAATTATTAAAAATCGATTTAATATGTTACGATATGAAAATAATATTCAAAATATTTATAAAGATCATTATACAGTGGAAGACATAGCACCAAACGTGCGTATATTAAAAGATAACAAAATTCAAATTTTCCACACAAAAACAAACATTTTAATAAACAAGTCACGTTAATAAAATAAATTAACAGTAAAAATGATTTATAAAACAAGCTTTTATTTTAACACTATTAAAAGAAGAAAATGTTTGCTTGTTTCTATGCGCTACTTACTTATTTCAGCTTAAAGGTTAACTTGTGTCTGACGAAATATGGTTCCGGGTTCGATTTTGGAGGTTTTCTTCTCCTAGACAGATTTCCTTACTGATCGTTATAATGACGCCCATCTCGCCATCGCACTATTTACAGTGTGGATGCACCATTCACGTCAACTGAATCATAATTTAATATGTATACAAAATTTCGTGCCTGTGCCATTGACTGCTGAGGAGAGCTCTCATACCTTGGGTGCAACAGCCAATCCTAGCCATATGCATATCCACACTTAATATTATAAATGTGAAAATGTGTTTTTTTGTCCTTCTTTCACGTCGAAACGGAGTGACGGATGATATATATATATATATATATATATATATATATATGTTTACAAAATTTCGTACGCATGCTATTAACCGCTGAGGAGATGTCTCATGTCTAGCTAACCATGGGCACGGCAGCCAAGTCATGGTAGACAGAATATAATAATCGGATACGTATATAAAATTTCGTGTATCTGTTTAACCGTTAGGAAGTTGCTTCGTCCGGAGCCAATCCTAAATGGAGTCCATTGGAACTGAACCAACATGTATCTACTCTGTAGGATAAGAGGAAGTGATTTAATTCAGCTTGAAAGATTTGACAAATACAGACTACCAACTTAAATTGTAAGTGAAATAAAATCTTTCAAAAAATGACATCAAAATCAATAATAAAAAAATATTAATAAATATTATTATTTCTTAAAAATTAAAAAATAAGTTATTTTCGTAAGTAAAATTGTGACCCGAAATATGTGCACAAAGCCATGTAATTAGAATCACTGCAGCGCAAGCGCATCATGTTTGTTGAAGGTTCCATGCACTTACGTTAAAGGAAGACAATTTGAAATACGAGATATGTTTATAATAACAACAAATTACTAGAAAGCTTTTGCAAATATTGTTATAATTGTGATATTGTGAAATATACAAAGCATGTAACTAATCATATAATAATATTTGTTTCATTAAAACTATATACTCGTAGGTATAACATTAAATATTTAACTATTGCAGTTCAGAGTCATAAGTTAAATTTAATACAATAGCTTTGAATATTAAAGAAAAGAGTACAACTTTTTTATGACTTTTTGTATTTTAGTAGTTAAAAAATATAATGTTTTTTTTTATGTCAGAATGAATCCTCACTTCGATCGATAACGACGTGTCTTTTACTCGCCCGATCTCCATCACTACAGCTTTAGTTCTTAAGTTAAGTATAATTAACTATGTATTTATTAAACAGATACATAAAAAAACAACATCATATATGTAATAATATCTACATAATTTGCAGTTTTAAAACCCGTTTATTCGCTGATAGAGCAAAGAAGAATTAAGTTGTAGACGTTAGTATAAATCAATTAACCCCCGCGGGCGGTCCTTTAGGCTAAAATCTAGACCATAAGTTAAAAATGGTGAAAATTAGAGACAAAGCTCTTAAAAATATGTGCTAGCTCGTTGGATCCGGAACGACCTCTAGAAAAATGTGTTTCAACCATTTTTCGGCATGTCAAAATTTGCAAAAGTTATAAACAAATAAAGATGAAATAAAGAAGGTATTAAGTTTTTCGCTAATAATTATTCAAAACCATTAATAATTCAGACATTTAGAAAAAAAGATCCTTAAATAGGATGAAATTTTCAATAAAAAGTCCCGACTCCCGGAACACAACCTTCATTATTTATAATTTTAATTTATCGCTGAAAATAGGACTTCAAGTGGCCGATGAGGTATGCGCACGCCGCTTCTAAAGCGAGTACATCTTGTAAAAGAATCTTACAGTATCAAATATCCAGCCAATTATTACATGCTAAATATGACTTAAGCACATTTTTCTAGATATATCGCACATGTTTTTAGGAACTTTATTTCTAATCACTATTTTCAACTTGTGATCTAGACTACTTGTCTCATTTCATGAACAATCCTGACTCCTGAGTCCTATCACTTTACTCTCGAAGTATTTTATATACTTATATTTAAAATTCAAACTTGCGAATTTGTGTGCAGTTAATATGTAATATATTGCGGAAATCTCATCGCGAGTGCAACTATTGATACATAAAAACAATAAAATGAAACTAACATTGACCATTACAGGTATCAATGAAATTGATAGCAATAATTATATGCTATTGTTAATTCCCCTGCGTGTATTGATTGCTGTTATCACAGAATGAAGCTAAAGTCAACAACTGGATGCCAAAGCTACTATCAAAATAGAGTAAAAATGTTATTAGTCGTGTATGTAGAATGGCGGGAGGACGTCTTGGATGTTTCCTACAATGTCCTAAATCGTAAGTGGACATAAATGAGCGTAGTTCATTCGAATCGTCCGCATCCGCTTCTCAAGATCATCTATTTTTAACGAATCGGTAAGTAATTTTTTTTATAATATACCAGCACAGAAAAATGATATTTGGACAGTTTAAATTTATTTATTTTAATCCTAATTTACTGACTCCCAAAATTCAAAAAAAAAATCGTAATTTTTGCTATCTGTTCCAAAATGGGAAATTAAATGAAAATTTATTCAGTTTTATTAATATATTATATTTTATTAATATATTATTTACTAACTCTTCTTACATTTGTTTTTATATATATATCAATGATAATATATTTTAATTATTTCTTTTTATAGCTATTTTCCTAATTTAAAATACTACTTATTTAAAAAAAAACCAGTCATGAGTTCATGACTCATTAGGACTGCCGACAGAAATGAAGACTTAAAACTATAAACAAACAGTTGTTATTTTTGCATATTCAAATGAAATACTTGATATTAAATTAAAATTTGTAAATTAAAACTGTTCACATTTATCTAGTTTTGACATCTATCGGCACTCTGAGTGTTAGCGTTAGCACGTCACGTGACCATGTCGATGACGACTTACATGAATTTACTCTCCATCGAAACCTGCCTATAGAAGTTTTCACTGCAAAAAAATATATACAAACTATTTTGAATTTTTAACATCTTCCAAAGGATGTTTGTTAACAATTCAAAATAGTTTGTTGTTCTTTATTGAATTACTCCATTTTAGAAATGTTTATTTTACCACAGTCTCCACTTATTCCAAAATGGAAAAATTAAATGAAAATTTATTTAGGTTTATTAATTAATATTTTACTTACTCTTCTTACATTTTCTTATATACCAGTATATCAATGACAATATATTTTAATTATTTCTTTTTATAGCTATTTTCTTAATTTAAAATACTACTTATGTAAATAATATATAAACTATTTTGAATTTTTAACACTATATTAAAAATATTCAATTTTAAGCTAAAAAAATTATTACAGTTAGGTATACGAAAATCATGTTTCACAAAAAAAATCATTTCCAGAGTGTGATAATAATCACTTTGTATAATATAAATAAATCTAAGTATCAAGTGGCTCAACCGCAACCGCTGTACGAACTATAACAAAACCGATGGCATCAGAGGACTGTAAGGAGCCATTAAAGGAGCCACTCAAAGAACCAGATGTGGTGGAACTGGATGACGTGCTGAACAAGTTGGGGGCCTTCGGGAAGCACCAGCTCCTCACCATGTGCATGCTGGCGCTGGTCTACGCCACTAACTCAATGTACAACGTGAACTATGTGTTCGCAGTTGAGGACGTCAGTTACAGGTACATACGTGTGCAAACATTAAATATTAATACACAGATAACTTATATCAATCACTTTTAGTAAATATTTAAATTTAAGTTTATTTGCTGTATGCATGAGCATAACGTTTTCTTATGTGGGTTGGCTATTTATTAGGCCTCAAGGTGATTTAAATTAATTGGATATATATTTGAGAGAATATATATTTTTTTGTTATTCATGTATGTATATGGTAAATCTTAGGATTTACTCGTACCAACATCGGCTGGTAAATGTGAGAATTATATAAAAAGTTTTGATTTATCGGCATTTTACTTACATACTAAGTTTTACCAACGATAATTGCTAAAATATGTTGGATTTGGAAATAAAACAAGGCGGTGTGCCATGCGGGTTGCTCCAGGTACTTTTCTGATAGCAGTGTGGACTGTGGGTTCTTGTGACTGTGACCTCTTGGTTGTGTGGTATGCTTCGGCAGAACTGCCGTCGAGGCATCGTGGTTAAGTGTGAAAGCGGTCCTACGACGCCCCATTAGGACGGAGGAGGTTCTGTTGGGTTTTAGGGGATAGTACTGGCTTCTCTAGCTGATGAGTCCCACATAACCACCTTATGTGTATGCAGGTGATGCATTACGCACAAAAAGGGGAATAAAACAATGAGTATTTCTACAATCCTTACGTTTTAATTAACTTTTCAAAAACTTTTAAATTATCAAATAAGTTTTGTATTTCTGAATTATTATAATGTAATGTACAGTGTTTAAATTATAATTATCTATCATTTGGTATAATTATTTGTTTAAACATCTTTAAAATACTTTTCCATTAGACATACATTACATTAGATTACATACATTAGATTAGTTAAGTTTTTTTACAAGGTCTTCTCTGGTATGTTTAAGAGACTTTAATCTTCCTTTTTTTTATTCATTACAATGTTCTTTCGTTGCTTTTTCACTAGGTTAGGTTAGACTTTTTGACATTTATCGTGTATTTTGGGGTAAACCCTAAGATTTACAGAGTGAATGTTGATAAAAGATCAAAATTAATGATGATCTCAAATCATTTCGTCCTTTATGTAGGTATATCTTAGGTTTACTAGAAAATCTTAGGATTTATTGCAGAAGTACAGATTTTAGAATAGCATATATTTATTAATTGGCATAATTAAGTAAAGCTTATAATTGTAAGTAAAACTATAATCATGAAGGTAGAGGTTTGATACTTAGAAAGTTAAGTCATAAGATTTTTTTTCTAAAGCTTTTGACTTTCAAAGCTCACACAATTGATAAAAAAATCTTAAATAAAGCAGAATAAATGTTTCTATTCCAAAGGAAATAAGCAGAAACTTATATTGTATTCCAATTTCCACAGATGCAAAATACCAGAATGCGAGTCAAATGTCACAAATTTCAATGCGACGTGGTTGAACCTGACAGCATCTAAAGAAGACGACAAAATAAAGCAGTGTCACCGACATCCACCCCTAAGCCAACACTGCCAGAATTTCAACACGAGCATAGTGGAGGAATGTACGGAGTGGGTGTACGATGTTCCGAACAGTTTCGTGGCTGAAGTAAATAACATTTATTCAACTTAATCTATTTAAATACTGTATTAAAAATACCCCATACTATTCTGTAAGTTTTAGAGATCCTATTAGAAGTAGAACTAACGCTACCGGCTCGTGAAACAAGTTTATATTTTATCACTTATAATATAGAGGTCACATATTTATTTATAATAACAAGTTAATAGCTTGTTAATTCATATCTTTCCGCATCGATTTTGGTTGTTTTTGGTGTTACTTAGGACTACCCCGATGTGTGTTTACCTCGTCGTGGTAACGTGGGTCATTAGCGTCCGGCAATCTAGTCAGGCATAAAGCCAAGAGACACAATGGGAGGTTGCCCACTTTGTTGGGCGGCAGTGGTAACCCAGTGGTAACGAGCTCGCTTGGGAAACCAAGTGAAGCGGGTTGAATCCCGGGTCTTGCACCCCTGATATTTTCATGTGCGAATCATTTCTATTTTCTAACATTATTGATTATCACTTGTCTTACGGTGAAGGAAAACATGTACGGAAACCTGCAACTCTGAGAAAACCTAGGAAGTTTTCGAAAGACATGTGAAGTCCGCCAACCCGCACTTGGTTAACGTGGTAGATTATGGCCTGATCCATCTGATATATTGAACGGAGGCCCGTGCTCAGCAGTGAGACGTTATAAAGGGCTGAGTACTAGTACCATGCGAGTTGCTTCTGGTACTTCTCTGGCAGTAGAATGGACCGAGGGAGCAACGTATGTTTATACAACGCGTGCTTGTAATAAGTTTATTTGAATAAAGTTTCATTTCATTCATTTAACGCCTTGGTTATTTGGTCTGCTTCGGCAGACTTGCTACTGGGGTGTCTTGGTTAAGTTTGTAAGCGATCCTGCGACGCCCCATCAAGACAGGGGAGTTTTGGTGGATAGGTTGGCTTTTCTAGCCAGTGAGTCCCTGTATGTATAGAGATGGTATTCGTAAATGCATTTCACAAATTAAAAAAGGCTAACTTTTAGTTTTTTCTTCACATGGGCTAAGCTAACAGAATCTCAAGCGTACATTATGATCGTTTGCAATCCGATATCCCAAAGCTTACTTACCCAATAACATTTTTACGCTTCCAATATTTAAAAAAGCATGTTGAATGAATTATCTCATACTTTATGCAATTTTTTTACTCGCACTATCACTTACGACACTTGCCTAAATCAACAATTTATCTATTCAAAGAGTCTCAATAGACAAAACGTCGCGTCGGCCAGCAATTTACCCACAATATCTACTAGGAATATAGAAAGCAAACGATTACTAGACTCATATCGCAGACATTTCGTGACCTATCTCCGAGAAGCCTATTAGTATCATCTGGGAATAGATAAGAAATAATTACGCTATGCGACGCCACCGCTCGCGGCGTCGCATCGCGGACTATCGGCCATCGCTTCGTGACTACTTTATACGAGATCTCGCGATATTTTTTGTGTTGTATTTCGATAGCAAATCTGATGGTCAATTTGTTTCTACAACAAATATCCATAAACAGCTGAAAGAATATCTAATATCTTTGATTCGATGCGAACTAAAGTTATCTATCAAACTATCAAATTCAAAATATTTGATTCAGCATTAAGTTATTACAATTTTTTACTGAACGTCATGAGTCTACTACTAGTTCGGAAAAAATAAGCCTCAGACCTGAGAAGAACTCTCGAAAGAAACATTTCGATACTGGTATACATAATATGTATACCAGTTACTTAGTTACTTAGTTATTAAGACTCAAAAATCTATTCATATCAAAAATTTTATAAAAGAATTGTATTTATAAAAAATAACATTTAGTTTACGTACAAAATACTTAACTTATTTCGAATATGAATCACAATTCATAATTATAACGTTTAATCCTAATTAGTTTTTCTAAATTCGCCTCTTTATAGCCAATTAGTTTTAATAACTTCATAAAACCAGTTACATAAGTTGAATTCTTATTTTAGTCCTTGACTTAAATTTCAATTCTTATCGCCATAGCATATTTATATTTTACAGAACTGAAAAATATCTTGCGTTATCTGCAAGTGAGATAAAATAAACATAAAAACTTATACAAACAAAATATATGTGAACAAGTATTTGCCAAGTTTGTATGCACTAAGTAAAACAGTCACCAACGAGGGGATGAAAAACTTCCTGAGTTCCTGAGATTCTGAATTCCATTGAAAGAATAGATAGCGGATAAAGCTAGAACTATCCAATAAAACAAGTAAAGGAGCTCGAGGCAATTTGTTAGAGGCTGGCACGATACGACGCTGGTCAGGCATTTGCATATTTTTTGCATCGACCGGTCGCCGGCTACAGGCGCGAGCGCTGCGCCCGTGCAGCGTGCGCTATGCATCGCCCGATGCCATCGACATGTCTATTGCTCTTTTTGATTTACCTATCAAATTATATCACGTAAAATGTAAATTTTAGGAAATCTTTTTTGAGTTTTCAACTTTTATTTTTTTAATAGAATATTTGTTTGAATACTTATGTATAAAAATATTTAAAAATGAAAATTCGCGTAAATTGTTTAATACATAATTACGATGTTGGTTTCAGTTCGGGCTGGCGTGCCAGGGGTGGAAGGCGACGCTGGTCGGCACGACGCACAGCTTCGGGAGCATGGTGGGGCAGTTGATACAAGGACAGATCTCTGATAGGTTAGTGGCACGATTTTTCATTAATAATTACATATTAAATAAAACTATCTTTTCGGATTTTGTCGCGGATTTATTTGCATTTTTGTTTCCCGACGTTTCGAATGCTTTACAGCAATCATGGTCACGGGAGAGACTGAGGTGTTAGATGTCTCTAAGGCATTATATAGTTGTTACAGACAGCCTACCCACAATTAACAAAATGAATTCAAAAAAAATTGAAAAATGGCACTAAAGTACCTTACAATATTTTAACTTTTAACTTTAAGCATTTTTATATAATTTTAATTAGCTTTATAATTGAATATAGAATATTATTTATTTAATTTGAGCTGTTATTATTATAATTATTACAATTTTAAAAAATATTAATTATTAATCTACATTTTTAGTGTTGCCATTATTATATTTATAACCATAAAGAAAAAATCATAATATATTAATTATTTAAGCCACAATTGATGTATGTGTAATTTGAAAGTTACTTAGAGACATCTAACACCTCAGTCTCTCCCGTGACCATAATTGCTGTAAAGCATTCGAAACGTCGGGAAACAAAAATGCAAATAAATCCGCGACAAAATCCGAAAAGATAGTTATATTTAAAATGTCAAATATTCGCGTAAATCTAAGAAAGTATTATAATTACATACTTTATTTTGACTTTGTTATTTTTTAATTAATCTATAACTTGACTTTGTATTTCATTTGACTTATTATGACACCATTGATTTACTTGATTAATTTGATATGTACCTACTGTTTAGTTATTATTTGATTAATTTTTAATTTGACTTATATTATTTGACTTTTTTACATTATTTAAATTAATTATTTTAGCTGACAGGTGCTGTCTTATTATGAATCATTTTTATTGTATTTGAATTGTGTTTATTAATTCCGCCCGCATAGTACATTAATCACCAACATATCATATACTAAAACCTTCTCTGAAACACGCTGCATCTTATTATTATATTATTATGGTATGAGTATTATTCCGATCGTTTCAGTAGTTATCGCAGTATAACCGAACAAAAAAATTGGCTCTCCATTTATTAGTATAGATATACTTATTAGGGATTATTATAACTTAATGTATACTTCTGATTATGTAATTATGGCGAATGGTGTGTACACTTGTAAAGACATACATAACTGATTAATTAATTAGGATTGTCTTATAAATGTATATTTAAATGTTTTAATATGTGTGTTTTGAGTGTACTTTTTTAAAATAAATAAATAAAATTAAATAATATTCTTTTTCTAAATTATTCATATTACGTAAAGAGAGCTATTTTCATTTTAAAATGTTAATTTTTGCAAAATCGACTTTTAACCGATCACCATGTAAATTGTTACACACGGGTATTTAAGTACATATTTCCGTTATCCTTACTGTTAACTCCACTGGATTTAACAGAACTGAGCTACACTATAAAATTATACTATAAAACACTTCACACTATAAGAGTTATAATAATATTTCAGATTTGGCAGAAAGACAGCGGCGGTGTTCGCTGGCAGCGCGGGGGCAGTGCTCGGCCTCAGCAAGAGCTTCACTAACTCGTATTGGGCTTACATCGTCCTCGAAGGACTAGAAGCAGCTATCGGAGACGCTCTATCACCCATGTTCATGTTAAGTAAGTTTGTAATTGCATTAACACCTCCAGGTAAATTTCTAAGAAATTAATTAAATTTCTAAGAAATCTATTGTTAACTGTAATGCCGGCGTGTCCGCGGTCGTGGTGAAATTAATAAATATACACAAATTATCATATAAAATAGACGCTTAATGTTCTCAAAGTGATTTTGATAGTTTTCTTATTTTCTCTTTATTACGATTTTGAGTAGAACAGCTCCAATTTTAAACATATTCTAAAATCTTATGGACCCTATATAAGAAATTGACACTTTACTCTTTGTTTTGTTTTCAGGTATCGAAATAGTAGAGAAGAAACGCGCTGTATTATATCAGATGATATTACTTAACTTTTACACTGTGGGGCAGATCCTGATGCCATTCATAGCAAAGGCAGCGCCCAACTGGCGTATTTTCTTGCGCCTCATATATGCGCCTACGCTTCTTGTATTCTCCTACTCACTCCTCTTAGACGAGAGTATCCGCTGGCTTTTCAGTAAAGGTCACAAAAAACGAGCTATCGCACTTATACAGAAGATTGCTGTACGGAATGACATACACATAGACAAAGAAATGCTAAATAAGCTAAACTACAAAGAAGATTCAAACAAAATCAACGATAGAAAACTGTTGATGAAGACTTTTAAATCGCGCATCTTGATGCAGAGGTTCCTGGTCTGCCTCGTATGGTGGCTCACAATCACGCTGATCAACTATGGAATGATGATCAGTTCAGTGCTGCTCAGCGGAGACAAGTACGTGAATTTCGCACTACTTGTCGTCATGGACATCCCAGCTAACTTGCTGTACTGGCTAGCACTGGACAAGTGTGCACGCAAGATGCCTCTCATTGCGTCCTTCATCGTCGGAGGGCTCTTGTGTATCACTCAACCATTCTTACCTAAAGGTTTGTCATTTTCTTTTTACTAATATTTATAGATATAAAAAATACCTTCCAACCTAGTTTTAACTTTCAAAATCACTAAGTACTTGTATGTACATATGTTTTATTATTCTTTTAGAGATTTTTTCAATGAATTTTATTATGACTAAGTATATTCAGACCCTCAAGGTCTATATTCACGATACTCTTAGGTCTATATATATAGGCCATTAAAAAACTGCTTGATTAACATTTTCATCCTTATCAGAGTACGCCTGGCTCGGGATTGTGCTGTTGATGGCATTCGAAATGCTCGCAACATTCTCCTACAACATCGTGTACATGTTCACGTCGGAGCTGTTCCCGACCTACACGCGGCACTCGCTGCACGCCCTCTGCTCGTCTGCCGGACGTTTTGGTGCACTGCTAGCACCGCAAATGCCGCTGCTAGTAAGTACTTAGTTATTATGTTTAAAGATCCTTAACTTGAACTACAAGCGATTTTATGAAATGAATTAAAGATTGCTTAGAAATGTTTTCGAAATGACGTGATGAGTTTGAGCCCGTTAGCTCACGTTGACCAAGTCAAAATTTGGAAATTCTAGCAGTAATCTTTCATAGAGAATAAATTTTTAAAGATTTTTTATTAGGATAAAATAGACAAACACATAACACAGTTCTGAATTTATCACTTTTATTAGTAAAAATCCTGAATATAATGTGCCATTTCGCAGATGGCGTACTGGTCTGGTCTACCGTCGCTGATATTCGGCGTAACATCATTAGTTTCGGGTGCGCTTGCTCTGTTTGTGCCAGAAACCGCGCACGCCGCGCTCCCCGACACCGTGCAGGAGGCCGAGGCTCTAGGACGTCGAGGAGCTCGCCGCCGCCCCTCGCGCTCAGCCCACCCCACTGACATCCCACACCCCACCGACCCCTCGGACTAATAGCCTGAGAACTGCATCATGCAGGAATCTGAAGCGCTAAAATATAGACCTAGCCACTGTCACTCGTCAGATCTCACATGGCAAAAAGAAGAGAGAAACATGCCAAGTTACAATAACAATTATATGAATAAATCGATCATATCACTAGGAACAAGTGAAAAATCAACGGTGTAATATGATGACGAGTTTGAAGCATAACGAGCGGTTGTAATAAATATAAAAATAATAACTCATGGTGAGTTCTACGAGAGAAACAAAAAAAAGACACTTTTATTATTAAAGGTTGTTATTAAATATTAAATTATTGTTTTTAGGGCATTTCCAAATTCCTTCACATTTCTCTTATAATTAATTTTGTTAATATAAGCCTTTTTGTTTTAACTTTCATTCGCTCGTAAGCTAAATAAATTGTTAGTTAATTTGAACCGCAACGAGCCACGTTTTAACAGCATTTTGTAGCAATTCGCTCGCTTCCCTCTAACACTACATTTACATGATAAATATGCAAAATCTAGATAAATAATTATGCTTTACCTGCTTCTATGCATTTTTATTACACACTTTAAATTCAACGGTACTAAGTAGTTAAAAGAATGTCAAAAAGAACATGGGAAAATAAATTACAAAGAGCAAATAAAAACAAAGAGCTCATTCATATTTCAAACAAAAACATGGATGTACGAGTATGTTTTCGTTTTCGATTTTATTTAAAATAGATCCTTCTCCTCGACCGGCAGTAACACAAAATCATTTATCTGGCGTCCCCATTTCCCAACGATAAAAAAGGCCTAGCGTTATGTAGTGTTACACTAGGCAGTCTGTAGCCTGTCTGTTTAATAAATTTTATCCAAGCCCGTTCAAACGTTTCACCATGAAGGAGTACCAAACAAACATACTCACATACAAGCCTTCGCATTTCTAATATTAGTGTGATTTTATAGTGTTTTATTGAAATTCCGAAAACCTAGTAGATAAGAATGCAAGAGGATGGCAGATAAGTCACTTCGCCTCAGTGCTGGTCGACGAGCAGGATCTGTCGAGACGTTGAACTCGACTAACTTTAAAACCAGTTCACTTTAAATTCAGCTCACGGGGTTTAAAAATCCAATAAAAAGTAAAGCAGTTTAACAATTAATAGGATTACTCGCTAATGGGCATAGTTAAAATACAATCGTTATCGTTATTCACTAGTCGAAGTAATAAAAAGAAGGTAAATTCGACACAGCACCGAGGCAGGTACCGTTGCGGCGGCGGGACTCGCCTCGCGTATGTAGCTATTATGTAGGTAGCTTATGTTATGTTTATTGAAATTTTGTCGTATTAAAGTATTCAAAAATGCTTAATATCAATGAGTCAACAATTCATTATTTTTGATGTTTATTCAAATAAGAATCATATATACAGCAACCTTTTCGAAAGCTCGTGTTATCAAAAGATTAAAAAACCCAATAATCACAATTAGATAAACCTTGTATAGTTTTACAAATATTGTATAGTATGTATGTACGTCTATCGATATCGCACTTGCAAAGCTCGATGCAGAGATTACTTTCGTAAATCCTTTCTATTAATTACTATAGCTAAGGTACGTATCCCATTTTATAAGTAAATATTTGTAGTTAAAAAGATCATGTGTCACTAAATACTTATAGACTTTGGCAGCCATCTATCATACTAGTCATAGTTAAAGTTGGTTAGTATTATTGCCTTTTTTAAATATTATTTTATTACAAAGTCTGTAATAAATGCAAAGATATTTTTGAATACGGTCAAACTTTTATATGATGTTCTCCTAGCCGATTCCGGCCACGGCGGCCAATCTCATTGAGATTAGCCAACTGCGCAGGAGATATTATAGTGCACAAGTGTACGCGCAGACACAAGTGCACTCTCTATTCCTGTCACTCTCATACTCCGGTGGGACGATCACTCGACACGACCGGTGAGAGTTAAGGCGCAGGACCGACGGCTTTACGTGCTCTCCGAGGCACGGGGGTGAAACACCGCCAACTTCCCAACTCCGGGTTGTTACTGAGACTTACTATACAGAAAGACTCAATAACTAAACTTGGCCCGACCCGGGACTCGAACCCAGGACCTCCGGGTGTGCAGCCGTACATGCCAGCCACTACACCACCGAGGCAGTTAACTTTTATATAAATACGAATGCAACTACTTAATCATACTTTTTTTAGTGAAGAGTTTATTAATAACTATAGTTAATTTATAGTTTCTGAGGTGCACTCGTGTCGATATCGACTCCTCTGTCGCTCAAACATCGATGTCTAAAAACCAACGCTATCTGTTGACTCAACGTTTGGACACGTCCCGCTAATGCAACGGCAAATGTTCGGAACTTGCCATAGAATAAAATATTAAAGAAATAGCAAAATATTAAAATAAATAAAACTTATTATTTTTATTGAATATCTAAATAATAAAAAAACCATAACGTATTAAACGTATTAAAATTTATTTTAATACGTTAAATATAAAAGAAAAAAAAGAGTAGCTACATTTATTTTATTGTCTAATGAAATGAAGATTCATGAAAAAATCGCTAGCGACGGCTTAATACATAGATGCACGAACTAAAGTATCTATATTTACATTTCACATCCAAACTCTATACACAATAAATTGACCGAAAAATAATAAACATATATTTAAGCTCCAATACAAACATACGTCACTTCTAATTTTCTTTCGTTCAATCTTTCAAATATTTATCGAATAAACAAATTAAAAAACCTCCATTGTCGCGACCGACGCATGAAACAGATATTGATTAAGCTCAAACAGTTTAAGTGCTCAAAATCCGGCGTTTGAGTAAACTAGCCGCTGTTATTTTTACACATCGGGTACATTAAAAGTAATTTTTTTTGGCTAAATATACACTTTCGCAGTCATAAAACGAATGAATTTTTAAATTTACTCTTTTTCTTTTATTAGATACTAACCTGTTATTTGCACTTACTATATGCTCCTGAAATTAAAGCTTTATTAATTACCCTTTAACTAAATGGGGTACAGCGACTTCTGAATCGCTTTAAAAGTATTTATTCCTCTATTTATGGTAAAAGTATAACTTGCCATGGAAACACCTTTGAGGTATAACAAATATACATGTGACCAAATGACCAAATTAAGTTGTACCTCCTTTTTTAAATCAATCAAAAATGAAATCACGAAATTTTGATTAAATAAAAACACTCAACACGTAACTCTCAGGACACTCAGTGCAAATAGCAAAAATGAAGCGGACAGTCGTAGGTACTCTATAGACTTCTGATGTCAACTATGACAACTCGATTCGATCCAAATCTATATTTTCGTCCTTTAATGATCTTACAAGTACGTACAACTTGTATGTGCTAAAAAGTAAAATCGGTATGAAAGCGGCAGAAGCGTTAAGCGACGTGTCGATACTAGCCTAATGCTCACAAAAACTGTTCACGTAGCTTAGACGAGATGACATTCTACAATCACCATCGCTAATAGAAAACTACAGAATGTATGTAAGCGACATATTTAAGCGTTGTGATATGTCACAGACAAATACATTGTAGCAAACGATAGGCGATAGCTCTAATAGTTTAATGCTAACGTCGGATATAAACATCTCGTATATTAATATCCTCTAAACGTTATCTGAAATTAATGTCATTCGTATCTTTATTCAATTGAAATTCAATCAAAATAAATGAATAAACGCAATCAATCCGCGCTTACGGCCGCTCCGTTAACGAAGTATGGAGCGTCGAAGCCTTTCAACTTCACCTCGCGTGTTGCGCAACCGTGAAAACGTTTGATACTGTGTAGTTTTTGTTGCGTCTTCACTTGTGGAATTCATATTCAAATTCCTTCACTAATAGGAAACTTCATGGCGCCTTCGTTTTAAAATAAGATTGTTTTATTCTGCTAGAGATGTGAATATTCAGTATTCTTATTTATTTAATTTCTATAGTAGCGATAATATCTAAAAATCTAGCCAATTGTGCCTACTATGAATAATATACACCTTATTGTGGTTAGGTGGATAGTATAGTAATAAAAATATAAAAAAATAATCTCTTCCCGATCCAAGTCCAAATTTGTAGGAAAAATATTAACGCCAACATGATTTATGTATGCCTTGTTAATTATGTTGTATATACCTATTCTTCATAATAATTAATAGAAATAAATTATAAACTAAATAAGCCGTATATTATTTTAATTTATTTATTTAGTTGATGTTCTCAAATTACTTGTAGTGAATTTTAATAGACTCTACTAGCAACTATTTTACAGTTGTTTACAGACATATTTATGACGTCAGTATTTATTTTAAAATTGCTTTAAATCATTATGCGTCCAAAAGAAATTACACTGGTACAATTCTATATTTTCATATAGCAACCACCAACAACATAAAAAAGATTTAAACATTTTATAGATTATTCTTTTACGAGTATCAATTTGAAGTCGAAGTTAAAGGCCAGGCAATTTAAGAGCTATAGCATCGGTCACACTCCACTTCTAAGGCGGTGATTACGGCAATTAACATACCGTGGAGCGATTTGACGAAAACATCGGTGATATTGAAGAACATTCCATCTCTCATGCTCACTCGATGCCACTATTAAAACTGTCTGACGTAATGATTGGCAAGATTTGTTCCACATGAAGTTGCAACGTCCGTTCACGTTTGAAAAAATATATTTATTACCAGAACTTAGATGAGTCACACATGTTTTTTCTATCCGACGCCAGACTTAATCAATACTTAATTAAAAATATAATACCTAAAAATACTTACAAAAATAAGCATTTTAAATCAGTTCTTTCTTACTTCCTTTACTGGCCTTTTTGGTGATTTATTTAAGAGATAAGTGCAGGACCCTTCGTTACATGCGGTGCACCTTCGCATGGCGCAGAACACATTAGTAGATAAGCTTAATTCCGTGAGAACTTGTTTTATCAAAACTGAGGGTTCTGGTGTTATTTAGAAATTA